GACCATTCTTCTCAGATCTGATCTATTTTATTCCGATGATGCTCTGAATGTTTAATTGAATCGAGAGGCACATTGAGATTGAAAATTCGTGAGTAATAGAATCTCCGGGATCGATTTCTGATGTCGTGCTTAGCCCTAGCTCTGCAACCGGCAAATGGATCTGACATTTTGCTCCAAACCAGAGAGTGGTTTCCTCCGGCAAGAGCCCTCATCGCTCTCTCGTATTTCCGTCAAACGCGTCAGGCATTCGGTTCCACCAAGCAGCAGCAACAGCAGTCGAATCAGAAACAGAACCAGGCTTCTTCTTCTTCTTCCGTGGCGGATCCCGACGATGCCGCGGCGGCGGAATTTGTAGGTGACGATCCGCTTGCTGCTTCGAATGGACAGGTGATTGTTGGTGTTGAAAGCAAGTATCGTGTTGTTTATCGATTAGTGAACTCGATCTACATCCTTGGAGTCACCGTCGCGGATCACGATAACTCGATCAATGTATTTGAGTGTATTCATATCGTGAATCAAGCTGTTAGTGTTATCGTCACCGCTTGCCGTGGAGTTGAAGTGACTCCGGAGAAGCTTGGACGGAAGTATGCGGAGGTTTACATGGCGCTTGATATCGTCTTGCGTGGTGTTAGCAACATTCGTCTCGCTGCGATGCTTGGTGCTATGCACGGAGACGGGATCGCGAAGATGGTCCACTCGGCGCTCGATACAGAGAATAAGATCCGAGGAGCAGATAGCTGGACGTCTGTGGAATCGCATTCCGCGGAGCATTTAGCTTCTGTGCACGCATTCTCCAATACTCGATTCGAATTACCTCCAGAGACCATCGCAGCCGGAGATGAGTTAGCGGCGAGCTTGGCCCCAGTGGTGCAAGAATCAGAACAGTTGAAGGAAGAACCGGAGCCGGAGAACAAGGATCCTTTTGCGGCAAGTGAAACGATCAACAAGGAGAAAGAACTTGTGGGTGAGTTCAAGAAGACTAAGGATCCTTCCTCAACGGACTTGACTTTGGCACTAGCTGGACTCGAAGTGACTACATTACCTCCAGCTGAAGCAACACAGTCTACACACATCAATGTTGAAGGATTCGAAGGGCAATACGGTGGAATTGAGTTTAGCAACGAACAGGCTACGATTGGAGAAACTTTTGAATCGTTTAGTGATGCTTGGGGAGGTGGATTAGATCCTTCAGAGTTTATGGGTCCAAAGAAGATTCAAAAGAAGGAAGGACTAGGCGGGCTCGAGCTGTTGCACACCAGTGATCCTAAGGCAGTGGAAGGCAAAGACGGAGGTAATCTCGATAACCTCGTTAAAAAGCCTGAGATGAAAGGTCCTGAAATGTATATCTCTGAGGAAATTAGAACAGAGTTTAGAGAATCCTTGCTTGCTAGAGTAGGACTAATGGGTGTGATCTATCTGAAAACTATGCCACCTAAAGGCTCTGGTGAAGAGAAAGAAACTGAGTTCTCGTTTCGTGTTGAGGGTACCAGTGCCATTAAGAGATTCGTAATGCAGAGTTCTCGGATCAGTAGCTTAGGGAACGGTTTGTTTCACGTAAGAACCGCTCCATCAGAAGAACCAATCCCTATCTTGAAGTATAGCTTGCAACCTAAGCTAACCCCGTTGCCTCTTAGAGTCCGTATGGTGAAACGAACCAGCGGGACTTTACTCTCACTAATGATACAATACGTCTCAAGTCCGGATCTACCTCAGCCTCTGAAAAATGTGGATTTTATACTGAAACTCCCGGTTGATCCCACATTACTTAAGGTTTCTCCTAAAGCAATACTAAACAGAACCGATCGAGAACTGAAATGGCAAATCCCAGAGATTCCTCTGAATGGTAGTCCCGGGAGACTTAGAGCACGGATGCCTATCGATTCAGAGAACGTAGAGGAAGAACCAGAAATCATCTGTTACGTGAAATTCTCGGTTCAGGGAAGTAATTCTTTGTCTGGTATCAGTCTACGCGCCGCTGCTGAGGGAAATACAGATTTCTATGAGGTAGATCACAGGTACGAAACCGGAGTCTATATGTGCAATTGATTAAAAATTTGTCTCAAAAAAAGTTTCGTTGTTTATAAATTTTCTCTAATGTTTTTGAGTTTGGCCATTGTTGGAAGTGATTCTTTCTTCTTCTTTTTTTTGCGTCATGTAAGGTTTTGTGTACTTGTGTATCTTTGACATTTCCTCATTGTTATCTGTTTTATCCGATTTGCTATTTTTCTTCCGGCATCCATTTTGCTTTTACTTGTAGTTTTTTTGTTTGTTTACCTTTGAAACAAAAGGGTTTTAATCTCTGAATAAAATGACATTACAAAAACAAACGTAACAGATGAGTTTTATGTAG